TTTTTTATTTAATTTGTATTTCTTAATTCTTTTATTTTAAAACCTCGAAGAGCAAATAATCGGAGACACTTTTTCTCATTTATTTCTCCTATTTATTTTTAACTGAAGCGAAAAATAGCATTTTTCAACAACTGTAAATAGAAGCATTTCCTCATTATTTTTATTTGATTTCATCATTAATAAATATTTCTAATTTTTTTTTATACAATTTAGTTACAATAAATATGAGCGAATCTTCTCCGAATTTGTATTCAGTTCTTTTCTCATTATGCCTCATGCTTGGTGACAATTTTAAAATCAGTATTACAAACAATATTTTAAGGACTTAATATAAAGCTATCGAACATGATCATTTCAAGTTGAACACACACACACATAGATAGATAGATAGATAGATAGATAGATAGATAGATAGATAGATAGATAGATAGATAGATAGATATGAGACTGTGAGTAATTAAATGAAACGAACAATGTGTTCTCAATAATTATCAAGAGCTAAATAAAAATGATATTTTTCTAATAATTTTTCTGATCTAATTTTGTTTTACCAAATGCACTTCCCTAAAAGAGAGTAGAAGTGTCTGCTTATGCTGACACATTTTAAAGCCCTCTATATAAAGTCATTCCAAAAATATTCATTAGATAAAAGCAGCCATTTTTATAATAGACATGGGAAATGTGACAGTCTAATTAGTCGAAAATTTGTCGTATTTTACTTCTTATGAATTGCGATTGGGTTTTTTAATAACTTATTCATAAATTGTTAGTACTAGTAGCAACTAACTGATGTCCGGTAACCGCTTAACAGTGATTATCCCAGGGAATCTGATGCAGAAAGACGTTGGAGAGAAGAAAGAAAAAAATGAAATGATTTATTTTTAGGAAAAGCGAAAGAAGACTGCATTCCATTTCCTCTTGTTTTCTAATGGTGATTTTCGTTGCGCAGAAAATCTCCCTAAAATGTGTTTCTGTTCGGTCAGCTTCAATGATTGTGTTCACAGCTAAATAATAATAATAATAATAATAATAATAATAATAATAAAGAACTCCTCAAACTCTTCCTCCTCCTCCATTTCTGTGTTTGGTACTTCGCTATTGATAAACATAATACTAATATTCCACTGGTACAACAGTAACACCAACTTTGTAACTAGTTTTTCTGACGTTCGTGAATGTAACCCCACCATACTATACTAGAATTTGTAGGAATTGAACCGGTTAAGATTAATGATTTCCTTTCTTTATTATGTTGATACTGCAAACTTCATTTGCCTTGACAGTTTAATGATACTTAAAACACGATTTTACAAGGTGTAATTCTTTGAAAAGTAAGTAAATATTTTAAGAAAAAAATCTCTAGAATAGGAATTCCTCGAAAGCTAACCAAATACTTTTAGGATTTAAAAAATGATACATACTCTCTTGTGCGTTGCTAGAAGATAGATAGACAGAAAATAAATTTGTTGTAATACATTGACAAATATAACCAATGAAGAAAGATTGATTAGAGGCGTAAAACTACATAAGTATTGGTTTATCAAAAGTATATAAGTATGTGTATTGTGATATGTCAGGCAAAAATCACCTTTCCAGCTTTTCCTTCAAGTTTCAAAAAGTTGTTTAATAAAATTTTTAAAGTTTAATAAAATTTGCTAAAGAAATGTCACCAATTTGAAAATTTCAAATTTAAATAAATGTCTGTTCATTTTATATGAAATATCAAGGATAAAATTCCAAAAAGAGAATTGCTTGCTTGAGATTTTCTGGAGAGATCAAAAACTAAATTTTAAAATAATCCACAGAAAATATTGATGCAAACTAATCCCGCTTAATGTTGTATAGCAAACTAAAATAATTATAATCTTTTCTCTTCCAAAACCGCCAGGTTATCATGTGGGTAATTTGATAAATTTTGTCTTGATTATGCAGACAATTAAAAGATAAACGAAAGTAATAATATTTTTCAGTAATTAAATATTTATTCGCAATATAAACGCTCATAAAGGACAATAAATCGTAACATTAGATTTTAACTGAAATTATGAGAAACAACAGGAGAGGCACGAGTCATCATGACATTCATATTGTAACATTTGCAGACGTTATTAAAAATTAATTTAAAACTAAAAATTTCAAGTCATTTTTTTTGTTTTTACAAAGTTAAAAAATGGTAGTATGTTTATTTTATTTATTAGTATCATTGACATCATCCAAAAATAACAATTTTTTTTATATTTTTGGTAAAACGTGAGGAAATCAAAAAATAATATCGAATGTTACATTAGGGCGAAATTACAACCAGATTTTCTTCTATCTTTTAGACTGAATTGCCTAATAGTCGAACATTGTGCCGATCCATAAGACGTTTATTTAACTTAATTCTAAAAAAGTATCGTGCATATAAGAAAACAATAAATTGATAGTTTTCTAGGAATTAATAGATTTGATGTACATATAATAAATGGACATTATTTCTTATTATTACAAACGTTATCTTAGTGGATGCCCATGTTTGAGTAGACACCCCCTTTTTTTAAACAATGCGAATTGCGTCTACCGGTGTCCCCATTCGAAAGATTTAATAAAGTTCTGTGTTCTCCGACACGGTTCGAACCTGCGTCCCCTTTTTGTAGGAGAAATCACCATCTGACTCGGCGTGCTTCTGTAACCGAGCAGTGTAAAGCATATCGGATAAAATGACGGTTAAGTCTCTCGAATGCACAGGACGGTAGCCATAATTACATTGTTTAAAAATATAAACTAACTAACAAAAAACAAAAACGAGACGTCTACTCAAATATAGGTATCCATTAAAATAATGTTTTGACTAATAAGAAATATTATATATATATATATATATATATATATATATATATATATATATATATATATATATATATATATATAAAATTCAAATTCATAACTTTATTCTTTTCGCATAACAAATATCCTTTGTGGAAATGATTCTTCTTTTATTAGACATTAGACAATTTGAAATTATCACTGTTAAATGCAAGTTAATTTTTTTTTTATATTATATAAAGAATTTCATGAAAGAGTTAATATAATTTGGTTTTCAAAATTAACTTGAAAGAATTGAACTGTTGAGAGACTTCATTGGTAAAAGTGATGATAAATATTAGAATAGATAAAATAAAACACAGCGATCATAGACAAAGACGATTATCATTTCCATTGCTTTTTAAAGTTAGCTACTTCTTCCAGCTTTGTTTAGATCTTTGAGAAATGTAAATATGTAATATCTGAATTTGATAAGAAGATTGGAAATTATCTTTCAAATATTGAATATTTTACATTTTTATTTGCAAAATATTTTAAAATGAAAATATTTTTCTCGTGAAATTCCTTTGTAATTCTGGTTATGAATTTATTTTTTTTATCAAACAAATTTTCTTATCACTGCTGATAAGTTTTGACACTATTCAGTTTCTTTTTTTCCTTTACTTTTCATAAAATAAAAGGTAAAAATGAAATTTTCAAATGCAGAATGCTTACCCCTCAGAAGTACTAATTATGAATATTCGATATTTCTCCAACAGAAAATCATAAATTTAAAGAAAAACAAGTTGTTAATGAGAACGATTTATGTCTGCAGTCAACATACATTCATCTCTTACAATCAATCAGTCGACTGCTAAAAAATATTCGAAATTTTAAAAAAAAGCGCAATAAATATGTGCACATCCAATTTAATGTCCGTGTATGTGTGTGTGGGGGGGGTCATATTCATTTGAAGAGATTATTTATTCAAATAATTTAAAAGTAACGTTTTGTTTTCTTTTTTAGTTACTGAAATCAAACCTACCGGCATGTTAAGCATTTGTGATTATAGTTTGAGTGGTGAATGGAAGTGCTAAAGAGAAGGAAGTCTGGAGTTTCAACTCATATATTATGCACATTATTAGGATAAACCTTCGATTTGTCATACGAGTAAATTTAATTTTCAAATAGTTATCAGTCTTGTTTTGGTGAAATTCACGTGATGTAACTTTTAAAATTTGAGCAGATCCAAAAAATACAACTGCAGAATATTATCTCACATTATTAAAATGATACTAAAATTAGTTGGATTGAATCAAAATGCACAATCAAATGTACAATATAAAGAGAGAGATAGAGAGGGGGGGATAAGGACCATATTGGTCGGTATTTAGAACAGACGTACACGCAGAGATACATACAACATAATAAGATAAAAAAGACTACAGCGTTCATAAATACAAAACAGTTTTCAGATATTTGTACAATTCCAAATTCCAAAAATTTTACAACTTATACCACTAAAAAGTAAGGAGAAATTCCACCATTAATTAGACTTACGAGAGATTTATTATAATCCAACCAAACTTTAAAAACTGAAGAGCAATTATTTGTTCTGCTTTAATGACATTTTTTAAGCATAGAGACTAATTTGTTTCAAAAAGAAATATTACAGAATTTTCAAAAATACATTGAAAATATATAAAGAAACTGCTGAAGCTAAACTTGATATCTATGTATATTTTTCTTTTGTAGTATTTAAATTTTAAAGGGGTATATTTGTCTTACATAAGTAAATTTCATTACAAAATTAAAATTAAATTAACAAAACATAAAATGACTTATGATAATTGTGAATAATAAATTTGACATGTTCATTATTTTGATTTTTTATCAGAAGTATAGCAGATGGTTAATAATTTTTTGTTTCTTATAATTCCAAAATGTTTTCTTCCCCCCCCCAAAAAAAAACATTGTTTTTCCTACATTGTAAAATGCTCATTTGATAGCATAAACGAAACCTATGCATGCACACTGTAACTAAATTTGCCACTTAGATTCATGCATACCGTCAAATATCCAATATTAATAAGATTATTGTAATTTGCAACTATTTATAATTGTGACAATACAAATAAATACATAAAGTGAGACGAGAAAACTATTTTAAATGATTTTTATTTGTTTTAAATAATATTGTCATTAAATGAACTTACGTGGTCGGAACTGTGCATCTGCTGGAGCGATCAATGCAATCATGAATATGGTCCCCAAAAGTCCGACTAACAGAAATGTTTTTTTATCTTGCATCTTGGATGCTGCAACTGTCGATCGAGATTGTGAGAAAGAAAAATATACGCCGAAAGTTTCTCTCTTCCTCTCGCAGAGACCTCCTGCTTACTTCTGGTGAACGACGATGGAGACTGGTAATAGGCGTGGAGATAAATATAAAAAAGAAAAAAGCGTGTGTATACGTGTGGATTAAGTGCGTGAATGCGTGTGTATGAGTTTGTATCGATGTGTTGTTATGTCGGAGGGCGTCAATTCAACTGACAGAGTTGACGAAAAAAAGAGCTTGTGTCACCTTTTTACATTTTCGAAATTCGTTAAGTGGCCCGTTGATACTGATCTACAATATTGAGTCTATGTTTTTTTTTTGTCACACGAAGTCCCACGCAGACTTGTGTCTGTTAATGATTTAAAACTTCTTGGTCCTTACTTCCAGTACCAGCCTAAACAAGTATGTAATGTAGGGTCGACCAAATTGCTGGGTTGCCTTTCTCTCTCTCCTCTCTCTGTAGCCATTCGCCTACCTCAGCTTCTCATAGATGTAGCGCGTCAACAGCAACCGCTGGTACAGTCAATCTGGCTCATCACGATTTCCTTCTCTCTAGATCTTCTATCAAGCTGAGTTTCTCACCCGTGACTATTTGATGCTTTCTATCAGGAACAGTCTGTAATCTGAGACATTCATCATTGTTCTCACTTCACATTGCGGAAAAAAGAAAATGTGACTTTCTATATAGAAACACTTTTTATTTTTCCTTATAATGTATGATGGAGGGAAAAAACAGATTATACCAGTAAGCAAATATATATATATATATATATATATATATATATATATATATATATAATATTCGGACAGCAAACAGACATAACCTTTTTATATAGTGTATTCTCCTATGTTTGCGAACATTCATTAAATTTTCACTGATTTTTTTTTAGCATTTCGTGCATATATAAAATTTCTTAGGTATTATGAAATATGAAATACGTGTGATTTTTTTAATAAAGGTATTTCTGACTCTATTAGCTTTAAAAGAAGGAAATAACAATTCACAGATAAATACATATATTCCTGTAGGAAAAATAATTTAGAACCATTTTATTTTTAGAACTTTTCGTATAACCCGAAATATAAGAGAATACAGCGACCTAGAGTGATGGTTTTTCTAAAATCCTATGTCTGTATATTTGTAGTTTTCCTTTCCTGAAAAACATACTTTTTTAAAAATGTCCAACTCCAAATATATTAAATGACGCATTATTTTTGTTGCTAAAAAGACAATTTTACTTAAAAATAAAAATACTATTATTGACTTGAGACATTAAAAAACAAACAAAAATGAAAGTATGTAAAACGTTAACTACAAAAGTATGCATACATTTAAGATATAATATTTGATTTTTTTAAAAAGAAAAGCGTTTGTTTTGTTCCTGTGATCATTGCATCAGGTATATGAATTTATTATGAGTAGATATTGACGATTGAGAAAACTGGAATGAAATTAATCAGCAATTCATTAACCCGGTTTGGATAATATTTACATTTGATTTTTCCATAAAAAAAAGAAAGTTTCTAAAGAATTAATCATATTTGAAGTGTATTGCCTTCGAGTAACAACAACATTCATTTTATACTGGAAATTATTTTTTTTTACTAAGATTGTAGGGAAAATACTAAAACCAAGCAAATGTTATGCTGCACTCTGATTATTCTTTCAATTCTGGCCATTTTTTCTGGTTTTAGAACATTTTAAGTTGTAAACAATGCATTAGATTAAGTTTTAATTCTCACCCACCCCTCTCTCTCAAACACACACACACACACACACATATAAAATATTGCACGTGCTGATGTTAATAAAATAGTTCTCGATATATAATAACAGAACTATAATTTATATTAATAATAATAATAATAATATACATTTTTTCTCACCAGAAGCACAACTGTGAGTTTCATGCACAACTGTGAGTTTCATGCACAACGCAATCTTCAGGTGATGATTGAAAAGTTTTCATTTAGCACCTGAAGATTGCTTTGCGCATGAAACTCACAGTTGTGCTACCGGTGAGGAAAATGTATATTTATTATTATTATTATTAATAATATATATATATATTAGGAAGCAGTCCTTCATTTTGACATGTTTTATTAAACAGAAGAGTGAGGAAAAATAAAATTTCAACAATCTAACCTTTCAATTTACTCAAGATCAAACTACAGGTAATATAGTAGGATTAAAGTAAATATACAGATGAATATGTGCACAAGTTCCCAAATAAGAGCTGTATCAATAGTACTTCGGCACACATATTAACAGACAGTATATCCTTATCGGTCGTTCGCAAATGCCTGTATTTACGCATGCACAAGATTGTACAAATGGCAAATACCATCCTACGATCCATTATTCTATACCTATTGCATTTGTTGATGTAATACAGTAGAGTTGTACGTATGCTCAGGCGTCATACCATCATATCCCATACATGTTTAAAAGAGGAAGGGTTCTAATGATTGGACAGGGGAGTTGTAGATCATCTTGTTGATCATGTTAAGCAGTACGGCAGACTTTATCCCGTTAGAAGACTACATCGCCTCCCAGTTGTGAGAATGGCAGCAAATATCAAAGATGAGCAAGAGATAGTTTATGGCACTCTATACCATAATGCCAGGGATGAGCCCTGTGTGAGTAGGGCAAAGACCTTCTGGAAGATGTCGCTCTCCAGATCTACACACACACACACACACACACACACAGAAATTGCATGAAAGCAGAACTTGCTCTAATCTTTGAACACTACGAAGAGCCATTCAATTCTCTCAATGCGATTCTTCTTGGAAACATTTGGAGACATGCACGACAGCATTGTGGTGTGACTGGACAGAATCACATCTTTCCGTAGTCCTACTCTAAGCATACAATTGCCAACGGTCCGTGTTGATACTACTGGTGCTAAATTTGCTCTGATCATTTTGTCACTGCTGCCTTTACAATGCGTCGATCTTGGCAAGCGTATGTGGCCTTTCAAAACCTGATCGAAGGATGTAGAAAAATAACCACCATTGTTAATATCAACGCGCCACTTTCAGCATGTACAACAATTCTATGAAATGGCCGTCCAACCTCTTGAAGGCCAATAATCCGATTCCTCAAACTGCTCTAATTAAACAAAAGGAACATTTGTACGTTTCCGTAGTATAACACCCGCTTGCACTGGACTCTTTAACTACAGTGAATCTTATTGCAGAATGCGCCACCTTCTACAACTTGGATTCAGACCAAACGGTGTACTGGTGCCAGTGTTACTGCAGCGTTTTAATGTCGTTATATTATTTTTGTTGCTTAAAAAAAAAAAAAGAGGATGGAACTTCCAAGAGGCAAATGAATTATGCAAAGGGAGAGATATGTTCAATTTCCCTGGGTAATAGCGATATTCGCCCACCGAAATTGCGCATTATACATTAAAAACTTGATTGTTATTTAAGATTTCTTTGTTTGTAATATTTATATTTTTCTCTATTGAAATTATTCTTTAAACAGTTTTTGTTTAGACGAATTAAGGTAGTAAAAGTTAAAGAAAAGAGGTATTTTAACGATCGACTTTCAGATTTGCAACTTCCAAATTACTTTGGAATGCGTTTGATTTTTTTTCGTTTGTCTCATTGTGTAAACCAATAAAAAAATCAAGAATTTTTTGTGTATCAAATTTGACATGTTTAGCAAAAATATGTACTAAATAATCAACTAATATTTAATCTTTAGCTTACTAGAAAAAGAAAATCCTGAAACCTTGTGTTTTAATTTTTATTGCTTCCTTATATTTGCTTATTGCAATGAACCGCAAAGCTAATCGATAGTTAAATAAAAGTTGGCAATAGATATTAATGATAATCTTGAATCTTTCTTATCAGGAAATATCAATTAAAAAAATAAATATCCAGTTACGTTTTACCCTTAGTCTGGTGATGGAATACGGGTACATAACATGTCACCACCATTTCAGCTGAAAAAAAAAATAATCGTTCCATTGTACATGGAATATTAATGGAATTTCATTCATATTCCTTATTTGACCAAGGCAACTTTCACTACATTTATTAAAAAATTATAAAATATTTGAGAAAATCTAAGCCTTACATACCATCCAATATGGTAATCGATAAAGAAGATTCCACAATTCTTGAATTTTATTTCATTTATTTTTATTGCCTATTCAATTTAATATTTTTATAAAGATTCAAATGAAATAGTCACAATTTTGACGAATTTTCGAGCCTGTGGCAAGCAGTGACGTTCTCATCAGAGAACAGCCGTTCTCACACAGCTGAGTAGATAAAGTAAATGACTGAAAGAAAAAAGAAGAGATATTTTGGAGCAGCTGTTAGAGACTTTAAGAGGAAATTTTGAGATTCTTCTGAAAGATATTCTGAGATTTAAAGAACACACGCGGCTTCCAACAATAGATTAAAAAATAATAGCAAAAAAAAAAAAAATTGTCACACTGACAATAATGGGAAAGTATATATTTTTGCAAGAAGTAAACATATGCAGAAAATATATAAATGCGTTATTTCTTTCTTTGCTACTCCTTTGGGAAAAGGTAATTTTGAGCAGTTTTTAAAAAAATTGTCTCATGGAGTTCGGCTCTAGCTTTGTTGAACACACAAGAGAGAGCGCCAAATATTTGTATCTTTTTCAGTTTTTATTTCTTCTCCTTTTAGTCTTATGATAGAACGAAGTTTTAATTTGGTATGTATTTGGGTTTATGTGAGCGAGTCTTTCCATTGACAAGCTTTACAGATAAATCTCTCTTTCTATATTTCGATTTTAAGTAGATGAGAACTAAGAAAGATGACAGTAAAAATAAAACAAAAGGTTTGACGGCTTGAAGGGAAAAATTATACATTTTGTTTTATATGTTAGAGAAAGGTTTTATTTTAATTTTTGTATGGTAAGAAGAAAAAA